TTAGAAGTAAAAGTTTAAGGCTTCTATTATTATTATTTATTTTTTTTTAAATATGAATGATAACATTTTCCTTTATTAATTATTAATTATTAATTATACTTGCAGGTAAAGAATTCTCATTATTATATATTTGATTAACTTATAACTCATATTCAACTTTTTCCAATAGTGCAAAGATCATATAGTAGGTATATATTGATTTTTTATAATGCATTTAAAAAACAAAAAGGATTTTTAAACAACCAAAAAATTTTTTAAAATCAATTGGATAGTAATAATGCGAAAAAACTTACACCCATAAAACATGCTTGGACACTATTACTATATATCTTAATGATTAGAAACCAATTATCATTTAATCCGCAATAGGGAAATCTTATATACAGAAAATTAAAAATTATCACAATTTTGCATAGATTCCAAAGATGTATCTGACTGAACAAAGTGGATTTATAGTCAATGTATTGATTACATTAAAAAAACTAAAAAAATCAACGAGTAGTTTTATCGTAAGTATTCCTCTTTTTCTCTATAATGTTTGAATGTTTTTGGAAATGATGATAATTTCAAATAAAACTAGTTTCGCAAAATTAAAGCTGAAAAAGATTAAATCTTTTGAGGAATCCTCCTTTGGCTGTCTGACCAAAAAAAAATTTTTTTTTTTCTTTAATTAATTAATAAGTTGAATCTATCTCTCTGATTTTTTGATAATTATGATATTTTTTTTTATATTCTTATAGGAATAAAAACACTTACCTATTCAAAATGAAGCAAGTCAAAATATTGTTATTTAATTGGAATGAAGACAACAATAACAAAAAGAAACTGATTAGTAGTAATTGTGGTGGTATTTTATTGCTATTAGCAGTTCAGTTATTATTGTATATAAATTAATAAATGTTTATTATATAAATGATAAATAGATCTAGTTTAAAAACCTGATGGAGTCTTATGTCATCTTTAGCAACAACAACAATAAATACTTCAAGATGTTTTTTGTTCAATTTATTTTTAATACTCAATTCCAAGAGTAGGGAACGAAAAAATTATGAATAGGAAGGAAATCCTTGTAGAATAATTCAAATAACAATAAAAAACTTTTTATCAATATTAATATATAGGAAAAAACCAATATGATTTACATCTGTTATTATTTACATAAAAAATCAAACTGCAGATATCTGTATCAGTAATTAATTAAGAAAATGCTTGCTTCTACCAACAAATTCTTTTGTGAATTGTTTATTAGACTTACATTTTCATTACATTATAAACCACCTTTATAACAAAACCAAATTATCAATGAATTAATTGAATGGAGCCCAGAAACCCAAAGTCAAGCAGGCTTGCTAATGATAAAAAAAAATGGAGGATGTTGAAGAGTTGTAGAAAAGGTTGGTAAGAAAAAAAAAAGCTGAGCAGGTCTCAGATTTACAAAATTGGAATTTGTGGGTTGTTTGGAGAGGAAAATAGAGTTGCTTCTCACCATAAAAAAAACTTTTATCAACCAAAAACCAACCCTAGAAAAATAGCCATAGAAGCAATTTAGGGAGTAATGAAAATGAAGATGTGATGGTGATAAAGAAGACGTAATTTTAATAATATTATGATAATGATATAGTTTTGCACTAAGAATAGCAATCGGCTTCACCCAAGTAATAATGAAATTTTAAAGAAAGAGATAGAGAGAAAATAAATGATTTTCAGTTCCAAATTACAATTGCAATTGCAAGTTGTAGAGCATGGTTGGTATTTGGCCAAGAATTCTTTGTCAATGACTAAATGCCAACCATGTTCTAGAGTTCTTAAAAACCATTCCCAAAAAAATAAAATGAATCTGACATATTGAGCTTAGATTTAATAGAACTATCCTTTCCACACACATGCAAGTACTTTCGTATTTCCCTGGTTAGAAAACCAAGGCAGCTGTGTATTTTCTTTTCAGGTAGGTGACCTTGTAGTGCAGCTTTAATAGGTTCACACCTTCATGGTTGTTACTCCAATTAATTTCATTAGTATATAAATAATAGCAATAATTGTAATTAAGAATCGAGTCGAATTTTAAAGCGGTTAGATTCGATTTGAATCAAACCGGATTTTAAGATTATAATAATAAGGCAAATGTAGTCAAACAAACGCGGGAAAAAGCCACTTTCCCATATTAAAAATAAATCATTTTCCGTATTAGTATACTTTTTAATACTAATACTAATACTAATTAGTATGTATTCAGTAATGGTTAACTGTTGTAAAAATGTTATGTAACAACTATATTGTTATATTGTTATAAAAAATTTATAACAGTCAAACACCCGTCACTAGTTCTGTCTGGTTGGTGGATATACTTTTTTAAATTAAGTGTCGATATTACCTTTATGCTCATAAGTAATTGATGCATTGTCAATGTGGCATCAATAAATCAGACTGAGCATTAAAATACCTCGGTTGTTAGGTATATATATATCTATAAAGCCTTGTTGTATAAAATATTTATAATGATTATTTTTTGTTGAAAAATTCTACTGTCATTATAATGATAGAAAGATATAGGAGACAACACAAATACCTCATATTATTAATATCTATACTTTTGGATTAATTACTCCAATAGGCTATTGAATGCTAAATTCGAATCCCTGCAATACCTTTTAGCGTCGTATTCGTTTTGCTGCAAGCATGCCCCATATTAACCTACAACGTTAGAGTTATAATTAATGAAAATATTAGACTATATTTAATTAATATTAATGTTAATATCAACGAATAATGCTTTATTTTTTTAATCCAACATCATTAAAAAAAAATATGGGATAAATTTATTAGAAATTAAAATTAAAATTAAAATTAATAAATAAATATTCTATGTAAATTATTTTCTATTATTATTATTATTATATGTTGTAAAAAAAATTACTATTATAAGTCGTTTTTTTACTTAAATCATAATTATGTTTTTCAATTGCCATCTTGTAAATTTTTGTGTATTGATCAACAGGTCCATCATGTCTATTCCAACCTAAATTTAAAGCATCTTTAATCAGTTTTCTCAAAAATATTTCTTTACTTCTAATATCATTTGACAATTCCTTTATATCACTGATTGCTGTACTTAATGCTAATCTCATTTCCTCAACTGAAAAATCAAACCAATCACCTTCATACAAATTGAATAAATATGAATTATAATTGAACTTTAAGTCATTTGACGGTGACGGCCGTTTTGATGGTTTTGATGGTGTCGAGGATGAAGAAGATGAAGATGTTGGCAGTATAGTGTTTGTTTTATTTCTCAAAAATTCTTTTAATCCACCAACACCTGTACTAACTACAGGAGTTCCAAACAATAATCCTTCTGCTGCCACTAATCCAAAACTTTCTGTTATGCTAGGTACAAATAATATATCAGCAGCAGCTCTATATAAAACATCCCAATTATTTTGAAATTCAAGCTCACTAATAACTACAACATCATCTGGATACTCTTTACTTATGCTAACAATCTTTTCCACTGGAAAACTATTAGGTTGTCCCATTATTATAAATTTGGCACCTAATTCTGAAATGATTTGAGCAGCTTCATGGAAATATTGAACACCTTTATTGTATTGGAATCTGCCAACAAACAAAACGATCACACGATCCAGGTCTTTTTCTTTAAGGAGACCTTCTTTAACCAAATGTCTTTTAGCATTAATTTTTGAAGAAGTCACCAGATCATTATAGTAGTGCTCAAAATTACTAGGAATAAGAACATTCGGGTTGAATGAATTAATGTTTCTTGGAAAGTTCGAATTGGCTTCAATTAATAATGTGTCATTAAATGGATTTAAAGTTGTTGTATCAATACCATTAGTTATACCAATCCAATTTCCTGTTCTGGCACGTTCCAATATGCTAGGCATAATCAATTCTTTAAGATAGAAATCCATTGGCCCTTCCACCATTTCTTTTGCCATAGTATATGAGACAAATGTGACATAATCTGCTTGATCGATTGCTAATGATGATGTATACATTCTTTGTCCATGAAAATAAGTTGGTTTTTCGGCTGTATAATTTTTCAAATCCATAAACTTTAAAATATTTATAATCTCGTTTGAATATAATTGTTCCTCCAAATAATCATGCAAAGTGTAAACAATAGCAGGTGGTGGTTTGCTAAATCTATTATCTACTTTAGCTAAATCATTAAAAAATTCTATTACCAATGCATTTGTAGCACCATGAATATGCACAATATCGATACCTCGTTCTTCTTCAATTGCAAATAAAGGAGTGTCAATGTCATTATTCATATAAGCTATTAATTCAGCTACACCTTTACAAAAATATAAATCACTCCATTCTTGAGGTAATTCAGATGGTGTTGAATATATATCAGTTACCCCGTCAGATTTAAAAGCAAAATTAAAAGGTTTCATTTTTCTACCAGGGCCAATTGCAAAAACGGTTACAGCTCTTGATGATGATCCAGGTGGTGATGTATGTGATTGGTCATCACTCAATGCATCATCATCTTCAGTTATATTTCAAATATAATTTTTTGTAACAGCTCTGTTATACTATAAACAAGGCTTCTAATAGTTAAAAATAATTTTTTAATTTTTTCCCCGGGTATTTTGTTTACAAAGTTACGTATAAATGGTTTAAAATTTTGATGTTAAATCAATTTGTTTTAATTAATTAAAGAGAATCGCATTGTATAAACTGCTATAACTCATCATACAGATGAGAATTTTTAATTCTGAAAATTTTTTTGAGCTCGCAGAACATCTCTCTACAATGTAACAGAACTATATTTTAAAAACATTTATTTATAATTGATGTAATTTTATATTGCAAATGTAATTTTTGTCATAAACTCTAGATACCTACTAATACAAATTAAAAGGCAACATTGTTACATTGTAGACAAGGTTCTAAACATTTTTAATCTTTTTTATAGTTTTTTTGCTTCCAAAGTTATAAACGTTCTTAAAACCATTTTGAACTGCATTTTTATGTGGTACAAAACCGTTATTAATTGATTTTTTTCCCTGTTTGTTATAAATGTACGAATAATGAATGAATGAATTATTCCAAATGTGATTGTCCATCAAATACATTATTACCACAAACTTAGTATTAGTGGTATCTGAATTTTCGGGTCCGTATTTACTTAATTTGATAAGATCAACATTTAATTAATTCGTGCGACCCTTTAATTCAAAATTTTACTTTATTTGTAAAAAATAAATCAATCTCGTCTATTAAACAAAATCACCCAATTCACGAACAGAAACCACTACTATCAGTAATAATAACAATCATACTAATATGTTGCCTGATCAACTTTTAGGGAATTTAGAAGCTAAAATTTCATATGAAATAAACGATAATCCTCATCAATCCATAAAGGCAAAGCATAGTAGATTGAATTACACTTCATTGATTAGACCATTTTTAGAAAGAAAACGTTGGAGATATATATCTTGTTTAATAGTGGTAGTGATTGTTTTAGCTTTATTTAATTCCGTTGTTGCGTTAGAAGGTATTCCAATGTA